TACATGGAGACACCCTGTCTAAAAAGAGAGAGAGAAAAATGGAAAGTCAAACCCAAGACTTGATGCCTGGTGGGGCCATGCTCTACCACTGAGGTGCACACTCGCCAGAGTTCTGAGTCATGTAAACGTCCTGATCTGTGCAAAGTAAATATAGATTTGTTAAAGAAAAATAAGAACTTGAGTGGGAGAGTTCTGAGAAATACCTGATTTGAACTCTTAAATAAAACATACTCAATGTAGTTTTTCCAATTCTATATAGTTCTGATATCTGAGTTCTTTATTGGTCTGATTCTGCTAGGGCTTACAATGTTTGGTTTGCTGGTATGTGGATGTAGATATGTATGGGGAGGAAAACCAGGACTGCAATGCAAGGAAGCATTTTTCTTCTGAGCCATTCAAACCTTGTATGGGTTAGGTTTTCTCTGTTTTGTTTGTCTTAATTAGTATTTGTGGGCAGTGTCTGTGTACAAGTGTGCACAGCATGGTATGGAGGTCAGGGGACTCTCCAGTTAGTGTTTGTGGGCGGTATCTGTGTACAAGTGCGCACAGCATGGTAGGAGGTCAGAGGACTCTCTCTAGAGTTGGTTCTTTCCTTCCACATCCTCAGGCACGTTTACCTGCTGCTGGCTGTGGTTTCCTTTTTTTGTTTTGTTTGGTTGGCTAGTTTAGGATGGAGGCATGTTTCATTGTTTTGAGATAGGGCAAAGTAGCCCAGGATGGCCTTGAACTTAGTATGTTGCCCAGGGTGCCCTCTGGGTGACCCTCTTGCCTCAGTCTCTTGAGTGCTGGGATAATAACAGTGTTACTGTGGTAAACTTTCTGAATTACACTACACAGTGGTGTTTAGTATATTCACCCTAAGGAACACATTGAGCCAACACCTTTTACCTATATCAGAACATGTACTAGCAGCTCAAAAGAAACCTTATGTGTGTTTGATATTGAAATTAGAGAACAGTCAATCATTTTTCTGGCAATGGGGAAGTAACATACTTGATTCAAAGGAATAGTAACTTATTTAACCAGTTTTAAATTAGACCAAGATTTGATACAAAGAATAGATTGGGAACACATTGCCTAAATTCTTTTCTCTTTTAACTATTAAAACCTCAAGCCTTCAGTGTATGGATTTAAGTAATTCCTTATGTCAATTTTTAAAAATTTGGCTCAGCAGATGTGTTCTCTAGTGTAACATTAGTCCTGGACAGCTTGTGGGTGAGATAGCTTCACTCTGTTGCAACCCAGAATGACCTGGAACTCCCTGCATAGTGCAGCCTGTCTCAAAACCACAGAACTGCCTCAGCCTCCCAAGTGCTGGGTTACATGGAACTTTAGTTCTCAATATTAAGCATAGTCTTTTTGATAAACATTAGAAGGAACATGACATCAGAGCTACTTAAACTACCAAGAAAGTAATTCTAGTAGACATTTACCTTTGCCCAGGAACTCCAATCACTTTCCTCTCTCATTTTAAGATGGCAGTGACAGCGGACGTTCTTATAAAACTGTCCTGGACCGTTGGAGAGAGTCTCTCCTTTCCTCTGCTAGTCTATCCCAAGTCTTTCTGCATTTATCAACCTTGGATCGTAGTGTGATGTGGTCTAAGTCCATCCTGAACGCACGTTGCAAGATCTGCCGGAAAAAAGGAGACGCTGAAAACATGGTGCTCTGTGACGGCTGCGACCGGGGGCATCACACCTACTGCATCCGGCCAAAGCTCAAGGTATTTTTATCTTTATCAGGTGGGCACATTGAAATTGAGATTTTCAACAGTAGATGATGATCATTTTTTGTGATTTGTTCAGACTGTTCCTGATGGAGATTGGTTTTGTCCAGAATGTCGTCCAAAGCAACGTTCTAGAAGACTTTCCTCTAGACAGAGGCCATCCTTGGAAAGTGATGAAGAAATGGAAGAGGGTGTGGAAGCTGATGATGACGAAGCTGATGACGATGATGAGGAGGGTCAAAGTGAGGAGGAAGAGTATGAGGTGGAGCAAGATGAGGAGGACTCTGAGGACGAGGAAGCGCTCAGGTGAGTACAGTGAGAGGAAGGCCCTTCTCACCTGTGACTCTTCAGACCGAGGGATAGCTGAGTCATAACCGTCCTGAAACTAACATGTCAGAAATACCTGTGCTTTTTACATATTATAAATATTTCAGAATATTTCCAAAGCTGTGCACGTTGTTGTATTCTGTGCTCTCACCCCATTACCCCCAGAATTAACAATTCTTCTGTGATACAGCGAGCTGTCACTCGGGCCTTGTGCATAAGTTTGAAGGCTGGATGTTCCTGCTGTGGTAGCACTGGGGTAGTCTTCCCTCGAGTCTCTCCTTGAAACAGCCGCACGCTGTTGCTCAGGCTAGCTGAAAACTTGAAGCGATCTTGCCTGTAGCGCCCCAAGTGCTCAGATTATACCACCACACTCAGATTGACCGTTTCAGGACTAAAATAAGAAAAATTCATATTTACTGGGAATATTTCTGTCCCAGTTCTCCACCAGTAGAGGGTTATACCACAGTGGGGACATCATATTGTGATCTTTATTCATCTGTACCAATGCCATGGAAGTGTCCAATACAAAAACGACCATCAGAGGAAATTAATTAAAATAGAGCCATCCGCTCTCTTTTGTTGAGATTAAGGTTTTTTCTTCTTTATTTGAGGATTTCATAATGCATGTGGGTTTTCGTCAAAGCCACTTCCTGTTCTACCCTGCTGCACTGGCTGCTCTTCCAGAGGACCCATGTTCAATTCCTAGCACCCACATGCCTGTAACCCTGACTTCAGAGTATCTGACAACTAAACACAGACATGCATGCAGCCATAATATGAATGCACATAAAATAAAAATAATTTTTTTCAAAGAGAGTACCAGCTAACAGGCTGTCTACCACCATATGCGGCCTTAGAAGGCACTATTATATTAAGCATAACAAAAAATAATCTGGAGGCCTGGAAAGGTAGTCAATAAACTGAAGACTGTAAGCATGAGGACCCAAGTTTGGATTCCCAGCCTCCACATAAAAACTGGGTGTGGCAGCATACACCTCTCACCCCAGCCCTGGGATCTGGGGATGTGGAGTAAGGCAGATCCCAGGAGTTTTCTGGCTAGCTGGTCTAGCCTAATTAGCCAGTTCCAGCCTTAATGTGAGATCCTGTCTCAAAAAATAAGGTGGTTTTGTATTTTCAGAATCAGAAAGTAGTAAAGAGGTTCTTGGCTTGGTCTTCATGAACCATAAGTTTGAGACCTACCTTATGTTAGCCATTGGCTAACCTATCGGTCACCTCTGTTAGTGGTAATCGCACAGGGGAAACACAATGCAAGGTTAGTCCGTTAGTTTCCTGTGTTTTTAGAGATATTGACTGGGTCTCTTTACAATTCTCCTGAGGATTTTATTAGTTTATCACAATCCAAGACTTGATACCATAGTGTACCTGTGTGTTTTTTTTTGGGGGGGGGTAGGGAGAGAGAGAGAGACTGACTTGACTTATAGCATAAGTTTATATGCAAAATTAATTTATGTACAACTCACTGATTAAGTACAAGTAGCCATATTTTCTTCATTGTTCATTATTGTACAATTATTATACTTTTTAACAATATTTGTAGCCCACCAAAACGAGGAAGACCCCAAGTTAGATTGCCAATTAAAACAAGAGGAAGATTTGGCCCTTCTTTCTCAAGTCGCAGCCAACGACAAGACCCTGGAAGATACCCTTCAAGGAGTCAGCAGAACACGCCCAAAACCACTGCTTCTAAACCTGCTGGCAGAAACCTAAGGAAAAGCAGATCTGCTCCTCCCACAGAAACTCGATCTCTAAGAGTTGGTAGTCGCTCCACTCGCCACAGTCCTAATGCACTGCAAGCAGATGTGTTTGTGGAACTGCTTAGTCCTCGTGGGAAACGCAGAGTAAGGAAGAGTGCTGATAATACCCCAGAACACAATCCCAGCTTCACTAACTTCAGGGTCAGCACCTCCAGATCAAGCGGACAGTTGATACCTTTAAATTCTGCTGAAAGACTTTCTCTCCAGGATAGTGAATCTAAGAGAAGAGGCAGGAAAAGACAGTCTACAGGTATGAAGTCTAACTATTCTTCCTTACCTAATACAATTTGAGTCCTTTCTGAGTTTTTAAAAGCTGTTCCTATGCTTCACAACAGTCTGACCTAAAGCATATATCATTGAAGAGGCAGCTATTGCTAAGTAAAGACAAAGTGCATCCGTGTCTCTCCTGGTGCAGGGCGGTGTCCTAACTTTGAAAGTAGCATGCCTGTATTCGTGTGGAGGCCAGAGGAAGCCTAAGCCACTACCCGGAAATCTCCATGTTTGCCCAGCAGGCACTTTATACCAAAGAGCCGTCTCCTTAGCCCTTAATGTATAACAAATTTATACAGATGCCTGCTGGAGGTCAGACGGTCACAGGCATTGGTGAGCCGCCTGATACAGGTGCTAGGAGCTGAACCCAGGTCCTGGAGGCTGGAAGTGCTCTTAGCCAGCAAGCCATCTCTCCAGTCCTAGTATTTATTCCATTGTTAATGGAGAAATGTAGTCAGTATTTGATTACTTGGTATAACAAAACACATTTCAGAGCTAGAGATAAAGCCTAGTGGTGAGTGCTTGCCTTGTTCATCTCATTCTCCCACTTCTGTCTCCCTCAGAACATACACAGTCATCAGTAGACATGAGCATTACCTTGTTTGATAAGATATTACCCTCTGAAGCTGGACAGTGGTAGCCCATGCCTTTAATCCCAGCACTCAGGAGGCAGAGGCAGGAGGATCCCTGACTTCAAAGCCAGCCTGGTCTACAGAGTGAGCTCCAAGAACATAATCATTGTTTTAAATATGGAAATAGCATGTTGTAGTGATACATACATTTTATCCCGGCATGCATGAGACAGACAAGTGAATCTCTGGGTTTAAGGACAGCCTATTCTACAGATAGTCTCAAGCCAGCCAGAGGTACCTAGTGAGATTCTGTATCCAGAGTAACAAACAAAAAACCTGTATGGAGCGCCTCACAGATGTTTGTAGCATCCTTGCACAGGACCATGCTAATCTCTGTATTGTTGTAATTTTTGTACATATGCTGCTGAAGAGACTCCCTAAGGTTTAGTGGTTTGGTTTTAGAGGGGGTGTGTTTAGTTTTTTGGTTTGTTTTTTGTTTTTCTTTTTGAGGATTGTTGGTTGTTTTACTTGGTTGGCTTAAGGGGATTGTTTTGTTTTTTTGAGACAGGGTTTCTCTGTGTAGCCCTAGCTGTCCCAGACTGCTCTATAGTCCAGGCTGGCCTCCAACTCACATAGATCTGCATGCCTCTCTTTCCCTCTCTGCCCCTCTGCCTCTGGGATTAAAGGTGTGAGCCACCACACCTGGCTCTATTTTAATGCTTTTATTTTTTAAAATTCTGCAGAGAAGGGGCTGGTGAGACAATCTGTGGGTCCACACAGCAAGGGATTTACACCCCCGAGCTCACGAATGAACCATACTATACTCTAGATATCACTGGACCACTTAAAGTTTCTGGTTTTTTTTATAGCCCTAGCTGTCCTGGAACTCCCAGAAATTCACTTGCACTTGCCTCCTGAGTGCTGAGATGAAATGTGTGCCCACACCCTATACAAGGTCTGGTTTAAGAGCTATTGGAGAATTGCTCAGTCTGATTTGTTTATTTTAGAGTAGCTTTAGTAAAAGTAAGAACCCAAAAAAAACTTTTTTGGAAAATTTTAAATCAAAAAGGAAATTAAGAGTATTTGGTTCAGATTTCTATGTCTTTTAGAGTAACTTAGGTGACCTGAGGAGATAGCTCAGCTACAGTGCTTGAAACCCAAGCATTAGCACCAGGAGTTCAGAACCCATGCAAATATGGCAGAGGAAGTAGGGGCCGGGCCCTCCTGTAACACTTGAGCCCACGGGGCCAACACAAGGCGTCCCAAGTCAGCCAGCCACCATGCTCCGTGTCAGTGAGCCTGGTGCCAGCATAAACCTCCACATGTCCCTGTGCACATACATGCAGGCATGCAGCCGTACACTGACACCACAGACACTTGAAAGGCAAAAATCTCAGTGTAACCGCCTTAACTGATAATCTATATTTTGCTTTGATACTGCCTAAAATGTCTTACTTATTCAGAGTCATCTCCTGCACCACTGAATCGAAGAAGTTCTGGCCGACAAGGAGGTGTTCATGAATTGTCTGCTTTTGAACAACTTGTTGTGGAATTGGTACGGCATGATGATAGCTGGCCCTTTTTGAAACTTGTTTCTAAAATCCAGGTAATACTATTTATCTAACTGGACTCTACAAACGATGTTTATATTAGCTGATCTACATTTGTATTATATGATGTAGTCTTTCTGGAAAACTTGATAGGTGAGAGAGCTGCCGTGCGGGTGTTGGGACTTGAACCCAGGTCCTCTGGAGAAGAAGTCGATACTCTTTACCAAGTCATATTAGCTTCGACTTTGAGATCTCCAGAGCAAGAATCTGAAGGATTAATTTAGAATAACATATAGTTATTTAAGAATTACATCTTAATAGTTTGTTTTGTGTGTATGTGATCGAACACTCCACCAGTTGAGTGGTGAAGACGGACAGATTGACCCCACCTTGAGTTAGAAATGACATCATCAGTAGCAGTCTTAGTAGCAAGTGCCGTTGCCCAACCTCTACCCTGAGGGGTCTTACTGGACTGGGTTTTTGTTTTTGTTTTTTAAAGATTTACTTATTTTTCATGAATGTGAGTACACTGTCACTCTCTTCAGAGACACCAGAAGAGGGCATCGGATCCCATTACAGATGGTTGTGAGCCACCGTGTGGTTGCTGGGATTGAACTCAGAGTCTCTGGAAGAGCAGTCAGTGCTCTTAATCACTGCGCCATCTCTCCTGCCCAGCTTTTCTTTTTACTCAAACAACCTAGTCTAGCCTAAAGTTTTCTCTGTAGCTGAATATAGCCATGAACTCCAGCTTTAATTTTTCATAGATGGTTTTTGTCCTCAATTAAGTAAACATTGTCACATTTTATTCATTACTATAAATGCAATAATGCTCCCTAATAAATATTAAGGGCATATAATTTTTTTCCTTTCATAATAAATTACATTTAAGCCAGCGGTGGTGGCGCACACTTTTAATCCCAGCACTTGGGAGGCAGAGGCAGAGGCAGGCGGATTTCTGAGTTCGAGGCCAGCCTGGTCTACAGAGTGAGTTCCAGGACAGCCAGGGCTACACAGAGAAACTCTGTCTCGAAAAAACAAAAATAAATAAATAAATAAATTACATTTATGATGGTATTAAACAGGCTTCTATATCATTATAATGACTCAAAATATGTGACATATTTTAATGGAGTAATAGTATTCAGAAGTTGATATTGTTGCTTTTTCAGGTATAAAATTAATTTAACCGTATATGTCCAATAATCTGTTTGCACTACGAAACTCTGTTTTGCAGGTCCCAGACTACTACGACATCATTAAGAAGCCCATCGCCTTAAATATCATTCGAGAAAAAGTAAATAAATGTGAATATAAGTTGGCATGTGAGTAACTCACTGTCTCCTTTTTAGTACTTTTAAGAGACGCTGCTGTTTTTATTTTGCTTTAAATAATGTTCATTAGTATAGGTGGCTATTTGGCAGCCCTCGAGGTCCCTCAAATGCTTATAGTACATACTGAGGTGAAAGATGATTGGGTTAGTTAGGGACATTCTAGAGTCTGGTCTTAGTGGAAGAAGTTTTTTGGTTTTGATGCAGTTATTAATCATAGGCCCCGTAGAAAGCTAAGCAAGGGCTCTGTCTCTCCAGCCAGGAGTTGTGTGAACACATAATGAGTGTAAGCCATAGGTTCTCCAAAACAATTTAAAATATTTATAATTGAACAATTTTAAGCTCAAGTTCTGTTATCTTGTTTCAGTCTCTTCTTTTCTGGATTCCCTTTTCTTAATAAGTTATAGTATACAAAACTTGTTTCTGATGTGCTTACTTTTATCCCTAATTCTTGTTTGTTTTTCTCTCTCCAGCTGAGTTTATTGATGATATTGAGTTAATGTTTTCAAACTGCTTTGAATACAACCCACGGAACACAAGTGAAGCGAAAGCAGGAACTCGGCTGCAAGCGTTTTTTCATATTCAGGCTCAAAAGCTTGGACTCCATGTCTCACCCAGTGACGTGGACCAGGTTAGCATGCCGCTCGCTGCAAAGAAGTCACGGATCTAATTTTGTCCTTCTAAAGGCTATACGTGAAGAAAAACATGAATCGTTCATGAAAATGGAACATTAAATCATGCTCTAAAGCAGATGTGTGTATAAAGCAATAACAGCTGGTTGACCACATCCAAGTGTGGCCTGCACTATATTCTCAATTTACTCTTAAGCACTCAGGAGAATGTAGGAAAGACTTCCTTTGCTACAGTTTTGTTCAGTATCTACTAAGTTCTATAGATGGATCGGGTACAGTACTGGTTTACAGAGGCTTTTGTACATTTTGAGATCATTCATGTGTTCAGGTATCTTGGAAAATATTTTTTCATCTATGATTTATTTTGTCATTGAGCTTTAGGAGTTAGTTTCAGTAGTAAGGAGGCTTTGTCTCCACAGTGCGTCTTCCAGACCACAGCTCAGAGAATGTGTCCTAAGACTGTTTCATGAGCACATGGTTTCAACACTACACATGAATGAATTCAATTCTCCAGCTCTGAAGTGCTGTAGCCAGTGTCGACTGAATCTATTAACTAGATATTTATTTAGCATTCAAAGTCATTTGTGAATTTGTTTTGTATTTATAAAATTTATACTTGGAAAAATGTTCTTTAATTTTTTAAACATTTTACTATGTTTTTGTTTTATTTCTTGACCAGTCTTAATGATTTAAAAATAAAAATGTCACCCTCTCTAACAGTTGTGTTTTACAAATGATAAGTTTCTGTGTACAACTTTTCTAAGTGTGCAAATAAAATGATACATTTTTTCAAGTTTTCTGCATTCTGAAGTCTTTGCAAATTAAAAACAGAATTTTGTCTATTTATACATAAAGACCATAAAAACCATATAGACAGTGTTTCATTGTCTGGGTAGATGATGCCTCTGGTTGGTGGCAGTGATAATCTTGCACAGATTCTGACTAAGGAGAGGAAGCATGTTGAACCCTGAGATTGTAGACATGTATCACTGCCTGAGTCCAAACAAAGCCTTGATTTGAGTGGTCTTGGTGGTGGAGGCCTGGAATCTTAGCATTCAGTATGCTTGTAGCAAGAGGATCACAAGTTCAGAACCAGCCTGCCCGGGCTACACAGTGAGAACTCGCCTGTTGTAGTTTGAATGTAAATGTTGCCCATGGGCTCTGTATTTGAACACGAGTCCAAGTAGCTTCTGTAAGGGGAGGCTTAAGAAATGTGCCGAGCTGGGTGGTGGTTGTGCACGCCTTTAATCCCAGCATTCCAGAGGCAGAAGCAGGCAGAGCTCTGAGTTTAAGTGTCATCCACAGAGTGAGTTCTGGACATTGAGGGCTACACAGAGAAACCCTGTCTCAAAAACCACTTGCATACAAGTGCGTACACACATACACAAAGAGGAGAAAGAAAGGAAAGAAGATGGGCCCTTGGTGGAGGAAGTGAATCACTAGGGGCGGGGCTTTAGTTAAGTCTTTGCTTTACTCCCAGTTTGTGCCCCCCTGCTTCAGATGCCTGCTGTTTCCTATGCCTGCTGCCAAAGTTATGTCGTGGTGGATTCCAAATAACCTCATATAAATTGCTTTGGCTATGGTGTTAAATCACAGCAACAGAAAAGTACTGATTGACTTTTAATTGTTTGATTTTTAATTTGCAAGGAATGCTGAGTGGGAAAAAAGCCAAAACATCCTACTGTGTGCCTAGCCCCTCAATGTCAGGGTTGGTAGTCTTTGTACCTAATAACTGTGAAATTTTTTTGTGTTAAATAAACCAATTCTGCAAGATTTTTTTGGCTAGTCGCTCCATTTTTCATTTGTCTTTCTTTTTTTCTTCAAAGATTTATTATATTTATATGAGTACACTGTAGCTGTCCTCAGACACACCGGAAGAGGGCATCAGAATCCTTTAGAGATGGTTGTGAGCCGCCATGTGGTTG